TTTTTTAAATATTTAAAAATGTATTCGAAGGCTTTCTGCTATTATAATTTATAAAATCCATATTTTGTACTAATTTCTATATACTTCCCTCTATATATAATATTTTTTCTAGACATATACTTTTGGTTTCATTCACAATTCACATTGAAATTTTCGCTCAGTGCATCTATCAATGTATATACTACAGAGATCCCTTTTCGGCGCACAGCAGGAAGTCTGTCCTCAAGTGGTTTTCTTTTTGTGTTCTTCGATGTTGGGGCGAAAAACCTTGACATCAAAGTGGGCAACAACATAAATTGCCAGCCATGTGTGTTATACAAGAACGCGACCGCAGCAGAACAGCTGATGGACGTTGTAGGCGGCACAGATACACATATCTATACATCTATATATATATATAGTATATTGTATCTGTCAGATACAGCCGCAGCCGCAGCCGCAGCCACAGTCAAAGATAAAGCTACATGACAGCAGGCAGCACAAAGTGGCTGCTAAATGCCGCTGCCTCAGTCAAAAAGCGAAAGTTTGGCCAAAAAAAAAGAAAATAATACAAAATAAATATATTTCTATATATCAAATGAGCAGACTGTATGGTGGCAGCCGCCTCTGATATATGTTGTGGGCGTGGCACATGTGGGCACAGGTTCAAACAAACAAGCAAAACCAAAATGAAATGGAAAATCAAATTAAATAAAACAACGAGACGTCTAAAGAGATTTGACTAGACGAAGCTGAAATGCGCTTCCAGAGGATAAAATAGATTTCAAGAGACAAGAACTGAAAGAAGTATTTACGATGTGATCTTCTAACCGCAAAATATATTAGCTAAATAGTATATTAAATTGGACATTATTAAATGTTTTTTTTATGGTGGTTATCAGGTTATGAGATATAAATTTATATATAGCTACCCAAGGTTTGTATAAAGAAAACAAATTTTAGTATTTTGAAGAGATTTTATCTTTTATAAATAAAATACATTAATGACATGTTGCCTAAATGATATGATAGTCATTATAATAACATGTTTTTGCAAACATTTCAAAAACATTAAAATACAAGTTCAATAATTTTGATGTTTCCTAAAACAAGTTTTTTGTATTGATTTTTGGATAAGCATATTTTATATATTTATAATTTTTCTCACACAAAATCATATTATACGATGTATTTTTTCATGCACCCGTATGGGTTACACATAGATATCACGCACCCATCAAAAGTTGTCAAAAAGTATAATAAATGACATTAATAACCAAGTTTTTTACATATCTCTAAAGACCATAAAAAACGCCATTAATGATCGATGATTTTTCATAAAGCCTAGCAATTAATCTAAGATGATTTTAACACGCCTGAAACCTCTAGCTAAAGCCTTCATCCATACAAAGTTTCATTAACATCTGCCCTAGAGTTACTGAGTTCACATAGACAGCTAAATTATGCTCGCATCCCTATAAATAGCGATGCTTATTGAGCTGCAAATTGCTTGCTAAAATCCAAATACCCATTGGATGTCAGTTAATAAAAGAGAACAAATACACTTTCGAACATGTTTCAAATATTGAATTTGGCTTTGTCCCCTTGGGGAGAAGTGAAATAAAAGAAAATAAAATAATATAAATAATATATAAGTATTCCAGAGATTGTTCTTTACTTCTTTCTTTGTCCCCTTTTTAGCTTCATACAAATTGAATTAGAACTAGGAAAAAAGGCAAAAGTGAAGACGGCGCTTAAAGGTGTCGATAAGCTGCCTGACTTATACAACAGGAGCGAAAGAGACGGTGAGAGAGACATACTGCAATCGTATTGTTAATTGGAGCGTGCGATCTGTTATGCGGCAGGGCCTTTAAGTGCTTTGTGCCCATTTTTGGGCAATCATAATTCTACACAGAAAACAACAACTAAAATATCAACCAATCTTGCTCGGAGCAGGCGAAAGTCGAGAGTCGCGAGTCGAACATTGAGGAAGTTGCGAGTGGGCTGCAGCGCGGCTATTGACGGGGCATAGTAAAAGTGCGTAGGTAAAAGCAGCGCGACAAGAATCGCATAATTTGCCCATTTCGTCTCTGTCTCTCCACACTCCACACACACACACATATAATGATGATGAATGTGTAATCTTCATAATGATGATAGACGAACTGGCAGACGTAGAGTTTGCTTTCTCGCTGCTGCGATTGGCAGCACTTAAATGGGAACTGTTGTGGTATCTATCGATGTTGTGGATGCTGTTTGCAGTGATTTATATGCGATTTGTGTCAATACGTGTGTGTGTGTGTGTGTGTGCGTGAGTGTGTATTTCCAATACCGCCTGGAAATTCTTTCAATTCAAAAGGTCAAAGAAACAGCGTATCGTAGGTAGAAGGAGTAAAGCATAAAGCTATCTCGCTCGCACAGCCTAGCATTAAATTACAAATACTTTAGCCTTATCAGACATTGGAAATAGCTGTAGTTGTTGTTGCTGCTGCTGTCGATTTGTATTTAAATGAAGCAACTTAACATGCACACATACTCACACATACTCGCATTTTTATGTAAATTACATTGAAAATGGGTATTAAAAGAATTTAAGTCGGGTGACGCGCGCGCGCGTTCATTGATAAGGCGCATWAAGCCGCACATAAGCCGAAATGTGACCACAAAAATTGACAAAAGGCCACAACAATTAACCGAATGTGTGCTTAAAGTAGCAGTGCTTCTTCAACTGTATTGGAATGATTGCTAAACTGCACAATGACGTAGAGATGGGAAGTGCAATGCATGTTAAGCGGCATAATGATGTAGAAAAGCTAAGTGGAGTGGCTGCTAAACTTTAGGATGTGAACTGAAGTGCCTAATAAAGTTTAACAGTCAATTAACAGCTGTGCAGTAATACTCAGATCTGTGAGTCTTAAACTTTTCTTGAAATTCTTAGTTATTCTTCAATTTATTATTGTGATTTGTGTTAAGTTGAAAAACCCGTTTCAATCGTAATGACAAATATGTTATTTATTGTGCAGCTCAAGTTGTGTAAGATATCTGAGATAGCTCGATTTTCATTGTTTACTAAAATTTGCATGGATGTTAAACTGTTTGAGTGAGTGACTGTCAAACTATTAAAATTAGTCTACTGTTGACTGTTAAAGCTCTTGTTTCTCTAAAACTGTCAGTCAAGCATTCAACTGTTAATTAATGTGCCAAATTAACATATTTATTGCGCCTCTCATAATTGTCTACATCCAAACATTGCTCTCAAACTGTAGCTTGATCTCTTGTTTTGGACACACTGCGCCCACGCAGTCGCTCTGCAACTGTTCAACACGTTGCTGACTAAGCGTTGCCGTATGACAACAACGGCAACAACATCACCAAAACAACACCAATTACAACGCCCAAATTGCATTTAATTAATGAAAATGTATCGCAAAATAAAAGGAGCAGCCCACACGCACACACATACACACATATACACACGGCTATATATAAGACATATATATATACTGTATATATCGTATATCGCATATCCACACTCTACTGTAACACCTTCGACAAACTTACCTCTCGATTGTTGTTGTTGTTGTTAATGTTGTTGTTGTTGTGATGATATTGCTGCTGACTGTTGTTAGCCGTGTTGTTGTTGTTACTGTTGTTGTGTGCTGCTGCTGCTGCTGCTGTCGCTGTTGTATGATTGCCCGACGACATTCGCGATCCGGGCAGATCGCGCCACCTGAGCACCCCCATCACTGCCTGCCGCACCCAACGCCGTTCAGCGCCTTCGCTATAAAATGCCACCTTAACTGTGTTTGCCTTGTTGTTGCTGCTGCTGCAACTGTTGTTGTTGCTGCTGCTGCTGCTGCTGCTGCTGCTGCAGTTGTTGTTGTTGTAGCTTAGGCTTCAATTGCAACTGTTACACTTGCTGTTGGCATTGATTGTTGCTATTGCTGTTGCTGTGACTGAGCAATTGTTGTAGGTGTGCATTTACCAGCAACTGTTGTTGCTCTAGTTGCTGCTGTAGCTTTAATTTCCACTAGAATTCTTGTTGCTGCATGAATTCTTTGTGACTGTTTTGTGGGTGTCGGTGATGTCTCATCTCCTTTGCATTAGCTGCAACTGTTGCTGTGTTAGTGCTGGCTGCAATTGCTGAATATTGCAATTATTGTTGCTGCTGCAATTGCTGCTACTATTACTGCTGTTGCTGCTGCCCTTCTACCTTACAAATCCGCTTATGTGACTCTATAAGCTCTTCTAGCAACAACTATTGTTGATGTTGCCTTTATTCTAATTTCTGCTGCAATTGCTACAATTATTGCTGCTGTTGCTGCTGCACAGATTCTGAACTGTGGGCGTGTGCTGTTGYTGTTGTAGGTGTCTATTCCTTGTTTGACAGCAATTGTTGCTGCTGTTATAATTAATATTGTTGCTGCATTGATTGCTGCTTGTGGGTGTCTAAGCCTTTTCTACCAGCAATTGTTGCTGTTGTCACTGTTGTTGGTAATTGTTATAATTTTCAGCAAATGCTCTTTTGCTGTTGCTGCTGTCGCTTGCAACTGACGCAAATGATTATGAATGTTTTTGTTGCTGTGGTTGCTGTTGTTGTTGTTATTTTGTGCCTTCGTTATTATTATTTTTTTTTTTTTGCGACTGCTTCGCACACACGTAGTTCGACTCGTTTGACCAGTTTTTTGTTGTTGTTGTGTTGTTTTTTTTTTCTTTTTGGTTATTTTTGTTTTTGGTCAGTAACTGTCAAAGCGTAAAGACTTTCCAAGCTCACCGTTTGGCAAGCACTGCAGTTGCTATGCAAATAATTTCACTTGATTCAAACACTTCCAAATCTATTCAAACTTTTGAGTTTGCTTTTATTTTTGTGCGGCGAAATGCACTGTGCGCGAAAGAGATAGAAATACGCGGAACGATAGAGAGACAGAAGTGCAGGACGCATACAAAATTTATTTTTATATTATTTGAAATTTCTTTTGCTTTTTGATTCTCTTGTTGTTTTGGAGAAGTGAGCAACAGTTGAGGCGTTGCTGCAACTGCATTTGTTGTTTTAAAAATAACTCGCGTTTCTGTTTTTACTTGCCACTTCCCACTCTGTGTTTTGTTTTGTTTTCGAATTTGTAACGAACACAAAAACGAACAACGCGACGGGCAACATGCGCGTTGCTAATTTTTTCTATAATTTTGCTTGTGTTTCACTTGCGACTGGCGACGACAACCGACCGAAGACGTCTGCTAACAGCGACTCGCTTACAATTACAGAGTTCTGCTGTGGCCGGCTAACAGCATGTTAAGCGGCGTTTTAGTGGCGCCTTAACAGACCAGCTGACAGCTCATTTGAGCATAACAGTGAGTTACAACTCGAAGTGTATGTTAACTTAACATAACGACAGCATTTAGCCGCAGCGGCGTGCGTTAGAGCGAGACAACTGGTGTGTTATGCATGCGCTGTGCCGCAAGCGCCAAAATTTGAATTGAGAGTTTTTCTAGATTTTTAGATGAACTTGAAGTGAGCGAAATATGTTTGTATTTATTTATTTATTTATTTATATTTGCAACGCACTTTATGTTACAAATTATAAATACATTTTGATAACGATTTCAATGATTTTACATGTTTTTTTTATGGATAAGACATTTGTATGAAACGTGCGGAGCAAATGTTTCAAGTTCATATGCTTGTAAGAGCTACATCATTCTGATAAGACATTTTTCGTATTTTCGGGAGCAAATCGAACAGCTGCCTGAGCCAAAAATACATATGTTTAGATGTGGACATATATATGCGAGAAAAAATAGTCGCACGCACTATAAAACAAACAGAATTTATGCACTAGACCCACGTGACCTTGGCATTCAAGCCATAAAGCTGGCAAAGCAGCGAGTCAACGAATCTTCAATAAATATTCAAGAAGAAGAGCATGAAACACAATATAACAATATAACATACAAAAGGCGAAAGAAACACGTTTCTTTATAGCTGCAGCGGGTGGTTAATATAATTGTTATTAGTTTATATTATTCTTTCTTATCAACAAAGGGGGCGTGGCCGTTTAAGTATATGTGTAAACTGCGAACTGGGGTCTGGCTTAAGACGAAGGTCCCCGGAGGCCACAGAGGTTAGCCTAAAAAAGCAGAACAAGCTGCTGCTTCTGATGATGCTGACGATAATC